GCCCTTCTGACCCAGATTTTCAATGGAGCAGAAACATTTGAAAAATTTAAGTAGAGCTTAATGCTAGGATCATCTTAGGAAATTTTCATTAAATTAGACAAAGTGGTTTAAGAGGAGAATTTATTTGAAAACAAGAATGTGTTTGTTAAACACAAGTGCCCCCGGCTCAGATTCTTGTCAGTAGCAATATTTCAAAAAATGTTTACCCCTTCACTCAGTTATGGACAGGAAAATTGCCAAAAAATTGTAAACACAAGTTATATAGCTCGACAAAGTCATGGCATTTTGTAATTGTGAAGAATATAAGTTGCCAAGTCATTGCTCTTTCTTGTGAAGTTGAAAAATATTCAACTTCATGCAAGTTATCTTCCTACCAAATATGAAATACATCTGTCAATAAATAAAGGCTGTATGGGCAAAAGTGTAAAAATCTATTTTTAGCACTGGTGACCTTAACCAAACTGACCCCTAACTCTATCCAAAAGAAGAATACCATGTAAGCTGGCTCCCTACCAAATATGAAATACATCTGTCAATAAATAAAGTTGTATGGGCAAAAGTGTAAAAATCTATTTTTAGCAATGGTGACCTTGACCCAACTGACCCCTTACTCCATCCAAAGAAAGAATACCATGCAAGGTATCTTCCTACCAAATATGAAATACATCTGTCAATAAATAAAAACAGTATGGGCAAAAGTGTTAAAATTTATTTTTAGCACAAGTGACCTTGACCCACTGATCCCTACCCTAATCAAAAGGATGAATACCATGCAAGTTATCTTCCTACCAAATGTAAAATATATCTGTCAATAAATAAAGGCTGTATGAGCAAAAGTGTAAAAATCTATTTTTAGCACTGGTGACCTTGACCCAACTGACCACTAACTACTTTCTATCAATTATAAACATCTGTCTAAAGAATAAGGTCAATACACCTGTAAAAATGTAAAAATCTATTTTTAACATTGGTGACCTTGACATTGGTAACATTGACCTTGACCCAAATGACCCCTTACTACACCCAAAGAAGGAGGACCTCCCTTGGCATCTTTGTATTAAACTAAGACATCAACAAAATATAAAGGCTGTATGAGCAAAAATGTTTATATTTATTTTTTAAACCAGTGACCTTGACCTTGACCCTAGAGACCGCTTACTCCACAAAAAATTAGAAAACCATCAAAGGTATCCACCTACTAAATATGAAAGATATCATTAAAAAAATTAAGCAATTAGGAGAAATTTAAGATAAATCCAACTTGCCGAAATAGGTTAACCAGACAAAGCCCTATTTTCAAAGTGAAAAAAGGGAAATAACTTGGAAATATGGATGACACAGTTATATAACTTGGCAATATCATGTACTTTGTATTGATAAGCCATTAGTATAGATAGAACTTAAGATATTTCCAACTTGCCGTTTTAGGTTAACCATTAATCATTTTCTAAGTGCTGAAAAGGGCAATAACTTGGTAAATATGAAAGCCAGAGTTATGTAACTTGCCCAGATCATGTACTTTGTATTGATTAGTAAGTGTGTAAACTTAGAAGCCATTGGTACAGGTAGAACTTAAGAAAAATCCAACTTGCCGTTCTAGGTTAACCTCGTACGGACAGACGGACGGACATACCAAAATTTGATGTTTATGAGGCAAATCGGCTCATAAACACCACCTGGACCAACATTCATAAGCAAAATAAGCTCATAAAAACAAAAAAATAGCTCTTAATTTGAATTTTATGAGTTTATGTTCTTTATTTAACTACGGAATGAAGCTCATAATAATCAAATGTTTGCTCGGACGGACGGACGGTTCAATCACTATATGCCTGGGGGCATAAAAAGTTGATGATGGACACACAGACGCACTGACGGACGTACTGACATTTGGATACTTAGGTGGTTATTCTTGTTTTCCCTATTGTTCTTTTAGTGACATAAGAGAAAACATAGCCACATATATAAGAGCTTACAGAAAAAGTCCAGTTACCTATAGTTCTTGTTGCCATTTAAGAACTCAAATGTATGCACACACAAAAGCACTGACGTCATGCATTGATGCATATGTTGTGATGAATATGAGTAGAACGATCAGTTGAACAAGAAAATATATTTGGTTACTTTATCTGTTATTGATATGATTTGATTTTCTTAGTGTCCAGTATCGTAAACTGTGAGGAGAGCAGTATTATTGTCAACATTGACGTTAATTTCAACACTCCTGTGAAATTTAATTAATTCAACTCTTCCTTTTCATTTGCATGCTTAGTACTTTTAGCAAACACGGAGTGGTGTTTAAAATTACCATGGCAACATGACGTACACAATTTATCAATTATTAGTATGTGTATGTAAAAAAATCCCCCCTCTTTGTTAATATCTTCATATTATGTCCATTTGGAAATAATCAATTTTGCAATTTTTTTCTGATGAAAATTCATAAACTTTGACATTTAAATGAGGAAGCTATATACTACATTCTCAAAAGCTCATGAAAACACCATGATAAACTAATACTCTCTCAGCAGTAATCACAGGTGTCGCCTGGTGGTAGCCAATTGCAAGTTGCAGCTAGAGTATAGCAAGAGACACAAACAACAGGCCAAATACCATTTTTTATGTAAGGGCTAATTAACTGGATTATTCAACTGGAAAACCTGTTCAATATGGAAAAGTACTTGAGGTATCATTCAACCCTGTAAAGTTTCATTCAAATTGCATATGTGGAATAAGAGAAGTAGTCTAAACAAAACTTTAAAAAACAAGAGGGCCATGATGACCCTGAGTCGCTCACCAGAAACAACTGCTTTTCAGTGTTGGAATGTCAATATATTCTAATAAAAAATTTGAGCATAGAATATGTTTAAACAATAATTTGAAGAAATGCCATGACCTGGGACATTCAAGCTTTAGCTTAAATGGGGCTAATCAAATTAATATGAGCAAACTTGATAAAAGACTACCTAAGAATGCTACAAAGTTTGGTGATCAATTATTAATTATTTCAGTAGGAAATGATGATCCATGCTGTTTGCTTGCAAACCCTATTACAAGTAGAGAAACTGATAGCAAACAGCATGGATCCTGATCAGACTGATGCGGTCTGGATCCATGCTGGTCGCAACTCCACTATGTTGGTTTTGTCATGTATGTATATCTATAAATTTATTGCTTTACAAATACCAGGTACATAGGTATATGTCCAAGAACTGTTCATCAAATTACATGCATATTGATAAAAGTGAAACAATACAAAAGTTGTGATGAACAAGCAATTATCATAGTATTGCAAGCAATCCATAAGTCCCCTACCGGTAAGAGCCCAAGCAACATTCTGAAGGGCCATTGGCCATTCACTTAGGTTCCTATTTTAAGTAAATTTGTTGAAAAAGTTCTTTAAAAGTGATCACAGTAAACAGTTTTTATGTACAGACAAACGGACTGAAGGACACTCTAAAGTTATTTTTTAAACATCCCTGTTATCAAAATATAACATTTTTAAAATCCTATCATGATTGAAGAAGTTGGAGTAAAAATTACCAATTTCTCAAAAAAAAGTCTAAGTTCAAAAGGGGCATAATTCTGGAAATAGTCTTGCTAGAGTATTGAACACTCACAAATGTTGAGTGACAATAAGAAACATTTATATGAAGTTTGAAGTAGATACATTCAGAAAAAGAAGTTATTAAAAAAACAATGTTTTTTTCATGAAAATTTTAAGTTCAAGGGAAGTAATTCTGATAAATTTTGTGTTAGAGTTGAAAACCTTGTCACATATGATGTGGTTGATGACAAGCAACTTATATTTAAAGTTTGAAGAAAATATCTTAAGAAATAAAGAACTTATAGTGAAAAAACTTAAAAACTAGAATCAGAAATCTTGAAATTCAGTCTATTTGTTGCCATAGCAACCAGAATTTTCAACATAGGAAGATAAAAAAGGATGTGCATAATTTCCATACTGCCATCTACCCATATGTCAAGTTTCATAAACATATTTTCAGTACTTTTTTGTGTTATCACTGGATCCAGGTTATGTGTAAAATTTGCCATATTTTTCAGTCTATTTGTTGCCATAGCAACCAGATTTTCAACATAGGAAGAAAAGAAAAAGACGTGCATAATCTCCATACTGCAATCTATCCATATATCAAGTTTCATAAAAATATTTTCAGTACTTTTTGCGTTATCGCGGGATCCAGGTTATGTGTAAAATTGCCATATTTTCAGTCTATTTGTTGCCATAGCAACCAGAATTTTCAACATAGGAAGAAAAGAAAAAGACGTGCATAATCTCCATACTGCCATCTATCCATATATCAAGTTTCATTAAAATATTTTCAGTACTTTTTGCATTATCGCGGGATCCAGTTTTGTGGACGGACGGACTGACGGACGGACGGACGGACGGACAGACGGACGGACGGACGGACGGAGGGTAAACCTAAAGTCCCCTCCGGTAAACCGGTAGGGGACTAAAAAGATTTAGATCAAAAATCAATTTTCTAAGTTCAAATGAGGAACATTTCCTGAGACATAGGTTTCAGAGTAATGAACTTTACCATATCATATGTGGATGATGATAAGAAACAACTATGTTTGGAAGTCTGTTATGATTTCAAATGTACACTTATGGTAGCTTCTGTAATGTCAATTATGGTTAAAAACGAGGTTTGAGGACTCGCCCTTGCCACTTATTAAAATTATTTCAAATTATTATTATTATTAATATCAGCTGTTCAGGGTCGCGATCCACCGAAAGTCTTAAGTTAATCTTAAACTCTAGAACTTATTATCAACTTTAGGACAAATTTGTTCTCACACTGTTTCAATAAACATCACACAGTTTCAATAAACAGTACTATCTGAAGTCACAAATGTAAGACTTGGAACAAATTGGCTTAACTTAACAAAGTGACGAAATACAATGGCATGTGCCTAATCAGGCAATATATAATTGCTCGTCTTCAATGATCCTTTAGATAATATAAATTTACCTTTGTAGGACTACCACCCTCATCAGTGTTAAGAAATGTGAATGCAAAGGATTTCCCTTTAGGTGATATCTGCTTTGTCCAAACTTGAATGTTTTTTCCAATCTGTAAATATAAATACAATTTGCATTACATTTTACTGTCATGTAACAATACTTTATACATACTGTATTTATTTTGGGATATTTTTGTTGTTTGTTTGTTTGATTGGGTTTCACATCACACCAACCCACTATAGGTCATAATTTTATGGCGATGTTCCAGCTTTACTGGTGGAGTCTGGAAACAGACCTCAGGTGCCCTTCCGTGCCTTATTTCAGGCACTAACCAGCACCTGTGCAAAACCAAAGATGTTCTGTAAGCTAGCTCAACAGCTTCCTCACATGAAAGAATCCAAAGTCCCTGTCAGGATTCGAACCCACAGCGTATTCATCATTTTAAGTTACATTAAAAGTGTCTTGGTTAAATGAGGACTTTTCAGAAAATCCTTTAGATTGCCCTTCTATACATTACATCAGGAACAAACATGGGCCTTCCATTAGTTTGTTGGACTGCTTCTGAACACGGAAGAATTTAAAGTCCTTTGCAAGATCTGAAACCACTGAAAAGCACATGATTCAACCATTTCAGGGATGAAGTGGCAAAGTGGATTATAGCTAACTTGGCCACTTAGTTCCCAAAAATTATTAACAAAAGTTAAACATTTTAAAAGATACAAAAAAAAACATGCTGAAATAGTACTTTGTAAAGGAAAAACTCCGAAAACTGTCCATTATGTGTAAAAATGGACAGATCGAGGCACCGTGCACTGAAATTTGTTCATTCTCCCACATAATGGACAGTTTCTTTTATTTCTATTTTAAACATGTTCTCTATTGTCTTAATAATAAAACAGTTGTATCAATCTATGCATTCCATACAAAAATTGAAAATTATTTGCCTCCATTGTTAGTTTATTTGACACAGTAAATATATGTAACTTGGTTTTTAAGATGGAAAAAGGACATGCATGTGTGTAAAAGGCGTGATTACCATGCTTTACTGTCTTATTTTGTGTATATGTAAAGGAATATTAAAACATAAATATTGGTTATACATTTGAAATTTTAATACATATTGGAATAATAAAGTAAAAATATGTATGTTTTCAATATCAATTTTATTTTCCATTTTTCATTCATCTAGACAGTTTTTCTGTGTTCTTTAACTTAAATAAAGAATTGTTGTTTTGCTTAGTTTCAATCAAAAGAATTCAATGAAACCACAAATCAATGTCATCTGGCTACTGTACATTTAATCAAGGGCATTAATCTAATGAAAAGACAATTCACCATCAAAATATTATTGTTACACATGATCACATTGTTGTTGTTTTTTGTGTGTTCTTAGACTTTGTTAATAACATTGTGCCAGAAACAAAGTGTTAATTTCTGTATAACATGTACTTGTACTTGTATATATTAAGTTGAAATACATGATCTCATCCACTGGAATATTTAAAAAAAAAGTTTGATATTGTTTATATCTTAACTATCCTTGTATCAGGGGGCTGCCAGAAGGAGGATGTGCCCCCTTCTGTTTTGGGGGTTTGGAGGGGGGGGGGGGGCGGCAGTCCCCCTTGTTGCCAAGAAAATTTTGGACTTGTGAGAGGCTAAAAATGATCCCAGGTCGATCATAAGATAAGGTGTAACCAATGTTGAAAAGACTTTGACTCTATCTCAATCCATTGAGAAGTTCCAGCACTTTGAAATCAGTTTTGTTGGAAAAAAACAAAGGAGAATAGTGATTTTTGGCAATTTTGAGATGCCCCCTCGTTACCATGGTAACAGGACATTTAAGATTGAGCATGCTGTTACAGAGGCTATGGTCCAGTCAACATTTGTGCCAAGTTTCATTAGTATTGAAGCATTTATCATAGTTTTATAGCAGCCTGAACTTGTTACAGGAGGCTTTTCAATGAAAACGGCCACTTTTCACAATATGCTCATATGGGAAAAGGTTAAATAAATGATAAATGCATGCAATTATAAGAGAATTATACTGCTTTTGTAAAAGATGACTGACATTTGTAGGAAAGTTTATGTTTGTTTAAAAAAACTATAGAAATATATCGAATATGATTTAAACAATATCAAATACATACAAAATGTATATAAATTTTCAAAATTTCCATTTTAAATGTTTCTTGTAAAATCAAATTAGTATATGTACGTAAGAGAAATTAACACTTTTGTGACAGATGTTTTAATTTAATGTCTCAGAGCAGGATATAACTGAGACATTAAATTTACACATCTTCAAGTACAAAAAATAACTGTCATTTTGATAAATATTGGATGGAAAAGTATCTAATATTTAAATATTGGATACTTATGAAGTGAATATTAGTTTCCTCATTCTGTCAGTACAATAAACACATTAATGTACAGATTCAGTAGAACAAAAGATGATGTAACAAACAGGTTTAAAACCTAGTAAGTTAAGTTTAAACATATTTATTGAAGCATGACTGCCAAACAAGTTATTTCAACTTATATTAATTACTTTTGAATCCACTTCCTGGAACCAACCAGTACTAGCTAGTGTCCTATCATAAAGAAACATGGTCATGAACCAAGTAGGGCTCGAACCCATGATCCCTTGGTTGAGAGGCAGACACCTTAACCACTAGGCCACCACTCAAACTGTGTGTATGTCACATGGAACTGAACAGAACATTCAAGGTATGTCTCTGCATGTTTTAACCCACAATAAGGAAATTCTAGTGACAAATTATAAACAAAGGAACCAGTATTATCATAAATAAAGCTTTTGATTAAACAAAAGAGTAATACAATACACAAACATCATCTTTAACCCAAAATGTTTTACTGTGCACCCTTACCATATCTATTCTTGTTCCTTGTATCCCAAATGGGTCCTGATTTATGGCTATAGCTCTCTTGTTCTGCAGTAAAGCCTTTGACTTTCCGGGCATTTTTCTCAAATTGCTAGACATGAACAATGGTGCAGCCATCATTGACCACAGCGCCATCTGTGTTCTCTGTTGTTCATAACTTAACCCATAGTCTCCTATTATTAACTGATACAAAAAAAAGAACATTTATTTTTGTGAACAAAACTAACAACTCTACAAAAATTATGAGGCCCACAGGGTAGATTGCCTTTGTTGCAACTGTGTAGCCTCTTTAAATAAAGACTTTATTATTATTATTATAATTATTATTATTATAACTATCATTGATGTTTCTTCATTTCTGTTTCAGAAAATAATCTTACACGACAATTAAAAAAATTCAATGTATCTTATAAATTCTACAAGTTTATATATATACAAATATGTATGTAGTTAGTCAATATTCTTAAACCTCTGAATATAGTTTATTTTGTATACAATAAATTGTGGTTCAAACAATGAATCATTGCCGAATATTACTGAATGCAATTGCTTGTGTTTTCATTATCATGCATGCTCAACTATTCTCAATGCTTGACAGTAAGAAAAGGGGCATAACTTTGTAAAAATGTAACTCAAGAGTTATGGAACCTGTGCCCATCATATAAAATAATCACAGAGAACAAGTGCATAATGTTAAAACCTATTCCTTTCAGTAAAATTGGAGATACCAACATGCACGCAAAAGCGTAACCAAAATGTGACAGAGATGCAGACAGCCACACAGAAGACAAGGCGGGTACAATAGCTCTCCCTATTCTTCAAATAGTCAAGCTTAAAATGCAAGATATATATTTTCTACATATTGAACATTGCTATGTCCAGCACTACAAGCATAAATCTGAGTTAAATTAAATATTCAATGAAAATGCCTTATAAACATGTGCAATGTTTATGGCCATAAAGACCTGACCTATGGATTCAGCAGAAAGTAGAGCTGTCATCGATAGAGACAATATCAATGTACCGTGTATATTTTTCTGCCGGTCAATAATCGATACACATTTCAAAAAATCAATAATTTTGACTGATTAATTATATGTCAAGAAATAATGCAAAGTCACCCAAAACATATACAGAAGCAGTTATCTATGTCTAACATTATGCTGTTGTTATATAGTGGAAATATTTCACAGCAATGATGACAAAAAAATATGTTCTCGAAAAAAATCATGCAATGGGCTTTTATAAACAAGACACTGAACAGAACATATTTTTAACTAAAGTCATTTAAACAGGTATGAAAGTGAATGACAGACAAGTAATTATGGTCATTATCTATATATTGGTGTATCGTTGATATTTGTCATCCGATATCGATATAATGTTGATATGTTTTGCACTGAATCAAACAGCTCTAACATAAAAACAGGTCAGAACATGCCTGCATTCTAAATAAGCTATATTTATTTTATAGCATGTAATGCTTGATATTGACACTTAATAAATTAAAGTTATTCTATGAACAATTACTTTTTATACAAACCGCTCCATGACAATACCAACATAGTGCATTTGCGACCAGCATGGATCCAGACCAGCCTGCAAATCTGTGCAGTCTGATCAGGATCCATGCTGTTTGCTATCAGTTTCTTGTAATAGGGTTGGTAAGCGAACAGCATGGATCCTGATCAGACTGCACGGATGTGTAGGCTGGTCTGGATCCATGCTTGTCGCAAACGCACTATGTTGGTTTTGTCATGACGCGGCTCATATTATGATGTAAAACGTACCATATCAGGATCATTAAACTGACCAGGTCCAGCCACTTTACTGAAGTTCCCTTTATCCTTTCCATAAAAGTCTATAATACCTCGTACACTGTCCCACGAATCCCCTATATCAGCATAATTACGCCAAATATTGCAATATTTTGCTATCTTTACATAATCAGGCTGAAATAAAGAAACACATGTCAATAATTTTAATTAAAACAAAAAAAATTGAAGTATATGTATTTCAAAATTAGCAATCAATGTGAAATTCAAATATGAAATAACAATTTACATATAATAACATATAATAACAATTTCCATATTGATCACATGATCTGTAGGCCTACACTATTTTTGATTTGTAGGCCTACACTATATCTTTTATTAACTTTGATATTAAAAAACTAAGTTTAATGTATATACAATAATTAACCCAGTGCTTTTTAATTAACCTACAAAAAAGGTATTATCCTTAGATAATACATAGCTATAATTTTCCAAAAATAAAACATAGTTGGTTTTATCCCAAGATTAAACAAAGCTGGTATTATCCTAAGATTATTCTAAGATAAAACATAGTTGGTATTATCCTAAGATTAACCATAGTTGGTATTATTCTAAGATATAGTTGGTATTATCCTAATATAAAACATAGTTGGTATTATTCTAAGATAAAATATAGTTGGTATTATCCTTAGATCAAACATAGCTGGTATTATCCTACAATAAAACATAGTTGGCATTATTCCAAGATAAACAAAGTTGGTATTATCCTAAAATAAAACACTTCTGGTATTATCCTAAAATAAAACAAAGTTGGTATTGTCCTAAGATTAAACACTTTTGGTATTATCCTAAGATATAACAAAGTTGGTATTATCCTAAAATAAATCGTAGTTGGTATTATCCTAAGATAAAATATAGTTGGCATTATTCCAAGATAAACAAAGTTGGTATTATCCTAAGATGAAACATAGTTGGTATTATCCTAAAATAAAACACTTCTGGTATTATCCTAAAATAAAACAAAGTTGGTATTGTCCTAAGATTAAACACTTTTGGTATTATCCTAAGATATAACAAAGTTGGTATTATCCTAAGATAAATCGTAGTTGGTATTATCCTAAGATAAAATATAGTTGGCATTATTCCAAGATAAACAAAGTTGGTATTATCCTTAGATGAAACAAAGTTGGTATTATCCTAAAATAAAACAAAGTTGGTATTGTCCTAAGATTAAACACTTTTGGTATTATCCTAAGATATAACAAAGTTGGTATTATTCTAAGATAAAATATAGTTGGTATTATCCTAAAAAAGCATAGTTGGTATTATCCTAAGATAAAACATTGTTGGTATTAGCCTAAGATATAAAGATGTTTGTATTATCCTAAGATAAAACCTAGTTGGTATTATCCTAAGAATGTAGTTGGTAAAATCTACTGCCATATAGCACATTTGCACATTACCTTCTATAAGCATTAGTAGATAAAAGTTGTATCATTCTTGTAAACAGTGATGTTAGTTTGTCACCATCCTAAAACTACTTACATTAGATATATACGCAGGCCAACTGCAGGAAAACAACATTGGTCGTCCTGTTCTGTTCAAAAAGAACTCCATAATCGGGTAACCTAAAGAAATTAAGCATGAATCATATCTAGAAACCTAAATGTTGAATTTGGAAATGGCACACTGTTCTATATTATTATTAAATCAACTAATCTTACATTATCAACTAATCTTACATTATCTATGAAATATGAATTTAATACCAAAGAAAATTGCAACTGAAACTATTTCATTAAATTAATACTCTATTGTGGTACAATCACATAATAATCTGTTACTGGAAACAATAATGAGCAAATGTACAAAAGTCAATGTATTAAAGTAGTTTGTACTGAGTGGTGTATGTTTGTAAAGTCAAATATAAAAGAAAAAAATTTGTTTCCTGCAATTTATCAATGTAGCTTAAATGCAAGAATTATAATTCCTGTAGACAAGAGGGCCATGATGGCCCTAGATCGCTCACCTGATTTATCAAACTCATCCAAACAATTACCTAGACAAGCATTCTGACCAAGTCTCATGACAGGTGAGTCAAAAATGTGACCACTACAGTGTTAACAAGGATTATCCATATTTGAGCAGTGCGACCTAGTTTTTTACCCAGGTGACACATATTCAAACTTGACCTAGAAATCATCAAAACAAACTTTTAGACCAATTTCAAGGATACTTGGATCAAAACAGTAGCAACTAGAGTGTTAACAAGATTTTTCTATTTTTAGCTCCGGTGACCTAGTTCCACATGCGATTTCGAACTCATCCAAGCAATTACCTATACAAGCATCCTGACCAAGTTTGATGATAACTGAGTCGAAAATGTGACCACTAGAATGTTAACAAGGTTTTTCCATATTTGGGCGGTGTGACCTAGTTTTTTTCATCCAAGATGACCAATGTATGAACTTGACTTAGAAATCATCAAAACAAACTTTCAGACCAATTAACAGAATATTTGGATCACAACAGTAGCCACTAGAGTGTTAACAAGATTTTTCTATTTTTAGCTCCAGTGACCTACTTTTTCATCCGAGATGACCCATGTTCAATTTCTTCCCAGCAATGACCTAGACAAGTTTCCTGACCAAGTTTGATGACAATTGAGTCAAAATTGTGACCACTAGAGTGTTAACAAGGTTTTTCTATTTTTAGCTCCTGTGACCTAGTTTTTCATCCGAGATGACCCATGTTCGAACTCATCCGAGCTATCACCTAGACAAGCATCTTGATCAAGTTTGATGATGATTGATGCAAAAATGTGACCACTAGAGTGTTAACAAGGTTTTTCTATTTTTAGCTCCGGTGACCTACTTTTTCATCCGAGATGACCCATGTTCACACTCATCCGAGCTATCAACTAGATAAGCATCCTGACCAAGTTTGATGATGATTGATGCAAAAATGTGACCCCTAGAGTGTTAACAAGGTTTTTCTATTTTTAGCTCCGGTGACCTACTTTTTCATCCGAGATGACCCATGTTCGAACTCATCCGAGCTATCACCTAGACAAGCATCTTGACCAAGTTTGATGATGATTGATGCAAAAATGTGACCGCTAGAGTGTTAACAAGGTTTTTCTATTTTTAGCTCCGGTGACCTACTTTTTCATCCGAGATGACCCATGTTCAAACTCATCCGAGCTATCAACTAGATAAGCATCCTGACCAAGTTTGATGATGATTGATGCAAAAATGTGACCGCTAGAGTGTTAACAAGGTTTTTCTATTTTTAGCTCCGGTGACCTACTTTTTCATCCGAGATGACCCATGTTCGAACTCATCCCAGCTATCACCTAGACAAACATCCTGACCAAGTTTGATGATGATTGAGGCAAAAATGTGACCTCTAGAGTGTTAACAAGGTTTTTCTATTTTTAGCTCTTGTGACCTAGTTTCTCATCCGAGATGACCCATGTTCGAACTCATCCGAGCTATCAACTAGATAAGCATCCTGACCAAGTTTGATGATGATTGAGGCAAAAATGTGACCGCTAGAGTGTTAACAACTAAATGTGAACGGACGACGGACGGACGACGGACGACGGACGACGGACAATCATCGATCCTAAAAGCTCACCCTGAGCATGCTCAGGTGAGCTAAAAATTGTATTGATATTTTGTCTTAAAGATGTTAATGCTTTGATCTTTTTTTCCAAACATACATGTATATCTGTTTCATTACCTAGGTGCACAGTTCTTAACCCAAAATCTTCAAAAGTTCTTAATTTATTGTCACATATGTTGTAGCAGTCTGGCATATAATCAGATTATCCTATCATCACCTTAGTGCAGAAACGGGTTAACTCCAGTTAAATCATGTAAAGACTTAACCTATTACTGCACTAATGTGGTGGTATGTCAGTGTTAAAATTCAGAAAAGTATGTAACTTCATACCATATTCATAATCTGCTGCATTAGTGTAACAACCATCTAGTTTAAGCATGTCAACACCCCATGAGGCAAATGTTTCTGCATCTTCCTGCAGGTAAAACTTGCTACCTGGGTAACCACCACATGTCTTTGTTCCAAAGTCCTCATATATACCCATTTTCAGCCCTTTTGAATGTATCTGTAAAAAGGTGTTATCAAAATGACTGCAAATTAAAACTTTAAAAAAAACAACAACATAAAAGCTCTTCTAACATTTCTTGTGATTAAAGGACTTCTTTCTTTGCCAGGGGTCCAAATCTTGTAAGGGTAATAAATTTTGTTGTTTATCCATATGACCATAAAGTGAATTAATGGCATTTCTTACAATTATAAAACTGATAAATCAAGTTACCAGATAAAATGAGGAGTGCTGGCTGTACAGAAGTGATGACAAAAAGTCACGCTAATGTCATTCGTGTGTTTTGCCAAAGGTTAAATTTTTTTTGATTACCCAGTATTTAGAATATGTAAAATAATAGCGTGCTTCAAGTCAACAAACTGGTTGTTATGGATACCATATTATCTTTGTAAGTATTAAACCTGATAATGAAAGGGAAGATATTAAGTTAATAGGCTTCATATAAAAAAAAAAACAATTCTTGAGAAGAGAATTCCTAGAATTTATCAGTCAGTCCTTGTATTTTATTTTCAAACAAAGCTGCTGAGAGAAAAAGGTCTTACATAATCAGCTAGATGTTTAATGCCATGTGGGAATCTCTCTGGGTCTGCTACGAGGGACCCTCTTCCATCCCTTTCTTTAGACATCCAACAATCATCAATATTAATGTACTGGTATCCTACATCCTTGTAACCTTCAGATACTAGCAAGTCGGCCATTTCCATGTATAGCTTTTCACTGCAATATGTGACATAAAGTGAACAAAAAACTGCTTTGGTTTCTGAGTTTTGGTTTCTGACTTTTTTGGTTTCTGACATTATTAACTTTATAAGAATCAATTTGTACTAAATGACAAAGATATCTTTGTCATTAATTGGTATGTCATTAATTGGTATGTCATGTCATTAATTGCTATGTCATTAATGACAATGTCATTAATTGCTATGTCACGTCATTGATTGCTATGCCATGTCATTAATTGCAATGTCATTAATTGCTATTTCATTAATCACAATATCATAAATCTCTTTGTCATTAATTGCTATGTCATGTCATTAATTGCAATGTCATTTATTGCTATGTCATGACATTTATCACAATGTCATTTATTTCAGTGTCATGTCATTTTATGCTATCTCATTAATTGCTATCTCATTAATTGCTATGTCATGTCAATAATTGCATGTTATTAATTGCTTTGTCATGTCATTAATTGCAATGCCATTAATTACTATGTCATGTCATTAATTGCAATGTCATTTATTGCTTTCTCATTAATTGCTATGTCATGAAGTGCTATGTCATGTCAATAATTGCATGTCATTAATTGCTTTGTCATGTCATTAATTGCAATGTCATTCAATACTATGTCATATCATTAATGTCATTAATTGCTATCTCTTGCTATGTCATTGATTGCAATTTCATGTAATTAAGGTCGTTGACTTCAAACCACTTGCCCCTCACCACTGTGGGTTCGAATCCCTACAGGGACTTTGGATTCTTACATTTGAGGAAGCTATCCAGCTAGCTTACGGAACGTTGGTGGTGGTTCAACTCAGGTGCCCGTTCGTGCCTGAAATAATGCACGGAAGGGCACCTGAGGTATTCCTCAACCAGTAAAGCTGAAACGTCGTGATATGACCTATACTGTGTCGATGTGACGTAAAACCCAAAACAAACAAAAACAATCATAACATAATTGTTATGTCATTAAATGCTATGTCATGTCATTTATTGCAATGTCATTAATCACTATGTCATATCATTAATTGTTATGTCATTAATTGCAATGTCATTAATTGTTATGTCATTACACAACAGTCTTGATCTTTTGATCTGAAAACTGGTGTTACATGTTGAATTAATAAGATATACTGAAAAAGGGAACTGAACAAACAAGAGGGCCATGATGCCCTAAAATCGCTCACCTGTATATAGGCCCCCAAGGCGGGGCCAATTTTAACCCAGGGTCTTTTATTTGAACAAACTTGGTAGACACCAATTTGAAGATGTTTCATGATAAATATCTAAGCTCTAGCTGTAAGAAGATTTTTTAAGTTTTAACTAAACACATATAGGGAAAAACAATGACCCCCCACCCTCTCTCCCTGGGCGGGGCCAATTTTGTCCAAAGAACTTTTATTTCAACAAACTTGGTAGAAAAGAAGATTTTTCAAGTTTTTACTATATACATGTACATATAAGTAAAATCAAGGATCCCCGGGGCGGGGCCAATTATGACCCCAGGGCTTTTATTTGAACAAACTTGGTAGACACCCATTAGAAGATGTTTCATGCTTAATATCTTAGCTCATGCTCTTAGGTTTTTTTAAAAGAAGATTTTTTAAGTTTTTACTATATACATATAAGGAAAGTTAATGATCCCTGGGGTGGGGCCAATTTTGACCCCAGGGCTTTCATTTGAACAAACTTGGTAGACACCCACAAGAAGATGTTTTATGCTTAATATCTAAGCTCTAGCTATTTGGGCTTTTTAAAAGAAGTTTTTACTATAATTATATATACGAGGGTTGTTTGGGAAGTTCTGAGAATTGTTTTATAGCACACGTTGTAGTCGGGTTAGCGTAAATATAAATATATACGCATTTATTTCAATATATACTGTACAGTATCTGAAAATATCATCATCATGCACACAGAAACTAAAACATAATTAAATTGTAGATACCCATAAAAAAAAACACCCGGAGCACGCCAACGTCATTTGCAACGTTATGCGACGTTAAAGTCCACCGATCGTCGCACCTTTTCAACGTAGTCACCTGCAATTTTGATGCATTTCCTGTGTCGGCTGATCCACTTATTGTATGTTTCCACGTACCAGCTATCTGTAAAGGACGAGACTATAGCTTGCGTATGCTTAACAAGATCGTCAGCTGAGTCAAAGCTTTTTCCACGCAGCTGTGATTTGAGCTAGGGGAACACATGGAAGTCCATCGGAGCGAGGTCCGGGCTGTATGGAGGGTTTCTTCCTTCTTTAAAATGAGCATGCCATCTATACACTGTAGCCGGACTGCATTTCTTGTATTTTCCTGTAGAATTGATCATTTTCATTGTTTCTGTGGAAGACTTTTCCAGCGCAACACAAAATTTCACGATGCTTCGCAATTCAACGTCACCTATCGTGTCATGTTGTTTACTCAGTGGCTCTGGGCACAACTTTAAAACAATGTTGATCCGTTGAGAATTTAAATAACGTTATTATATTTTCAGGAAATGACGTCATGACGTTCCGCTGCTGACCAGCGTTTTCGCGCATTTTTTACGTTATCAAAATTACGAAATATTATTAGTGTAGAGTCGGACTGCTCCGGTGCGGCGTTATAGTGTTGCTATGGTTACTGCTATTTCCGACTATTGTTGTCTGATTCTATTCAATTTTTAGGAAAAGTTCTGTGATATGCTAATCTTAGTATGTGCAAAATATTACGTCTTAGAAACAAAAAATATAGGAGATATGACAAAATTCCCAGAACTTCCCGAACAACCCTCGTATAAGGAAAATCAATGATTCCTGGGGCAGGGCCAATTTTAACCCTGGGCCCTTATTTCAACAAACTTGGTTGACACCCATTAGAAGATGTTTCATGCTAAATATCTTAGCTCATGCTCTTAGGTTTTTTTAAAAGAAGATTTTTTAATTTTTTACTATATACATAAAGGGAAAAACAATGACCCCCTGGGGCGAGGCCAATTTTGACCCCAGGGCTTTTATTTAAACAAACTTGGTAGACACCCACAAGAAAATGTTTCATACTTAATATCTAAGCTCTAGCTATTTGGGCTTTTTAAAAGAAGATTCTATATATATATAAAAAAATCAATGATCCCAGGGACACGACCAATTTTAACCCCAGGGCCTTTATTTGAACAAAAATGGTAAACGCCTATTAGAAGATGTTTCATGCTAAATATCTTAGCTCTAGCTCTTAGGGTTTTTTAAAAGAAGATTTTTTAAGTTTTTACTATATACATAAAGGTAAAAACATGACCCCCTGGGGCGGGGCCAATTTTGACCATAGGGCTTTCATTTGAACAAACTTGGTAGACACCCACTAGAAGATGTTTCATGCTTAATATCTAAGCTCTAGCTATTTGGGCTTTTTAAAAGAAGTTTTTTCAAGTTTTTACTATATACAAATAAGGAGAATCAATGACCCCCCCTCCCTAATTTTGACCCCAGGGTATTTATTTGAACAAACTTGGTAGACACTGACTAGATGATGTTTCATGCCAAATATTAAAGCTCTAGCTCTTTCGGTTTTCTAAAAGAAGATATTTTAAGTTTTTTCTTTTGGTTGCATGGCAACCGGAATTCTGCTTGGATTTAACTTCTTTGAACAATTTTTAAAGTTGACTACCAAAGGAACATTCCTATGAAGTTTGGATGAAATTTGCTAAGCTGATTTTGAGATGATGTCGTGTAAAGTAAAAGTTTACGGCCGGACGCCAGACCAAAAGCGATCACAAAAGCTCACCATGTCACTTTGCGACAGGTGAGCTAAAAAGATTTAAACAATGCCAAAGAGTCTGGGGCGTGACAATGGTTCTGTCTTTTTCTTTAAAAATGTTGTAGTTTTCAAAAAAATGACCACACACAAAAAACACACAACTTCTATTCTAATAAAAATTTAAAGTAGATAAATGTTGTCACCTATCGACAAATTTTACCTTATACAATCATCTGGATATGTTTCACAATCAGTGATACATCTGTACCGTTCCCATGACAACCAGCCCATTGGTGGGGTCAGTGCTAACCCATTATTAAGACAAGTCACATGGTAAACTGAAGTTATACACAAGACAAGAGCCAACCACTGAAAGAAAAAAAGCATTGTAATAATAACATCTACATGAAAAACAAATTTCAAAATTTAATTAGTTTTTCTTATTTACTTACTGAGCGGCATGCCTCCAGATTAGCCCAAATATTTCAAGAAAATCAAACTTGAGAGAAATGTACACATGTACTAAGGTGTTAAAGAAAGTAAATAGACTCAAAGGTCAAGTGAAGTACGATAAACAACTGATTTTACAGTATCTATAATTCCTGGGTGGATTATGGAAGTTGAAAGAGAAACAAACCCATTGTGGGACTTCAACCAACTAACTATAACCAGTCTGACTTGGCATTTTACAAATGTATTAAACACTAGGAAAGTAGAGAAAACTCAGCAAAGAGTCTTTAACATTAATTTATGATGATTTAAGCAGTAGTTATGAACAAGTACTTGAGAAGTCTGGACGTATTTCATTGAAAGTTAGGCGGTTAAGAACAATTGCTTAAGAAACATGCAAAATTTTAAATGATGTGTCTCCAGAATATTTAAATGATTTACTACATCTGAAACATTCTAACCAAGAACAGACAGATATGGCTAGAGGCAAGAAATCTTTCCGGTATATTGCTGACAAACTTTTGAATCAACTTCAAGAAAATTTCAGGGAAACTTTATCATTTAACCTATTTAGATCATTAATAAAAACTTGGCAAGTGGAGAATTTCTCCTGTTCATCATGTAATGTCACATAATACATCCTTTAAAAACCAAAATGTTTTGGCAGCGAGATGCTGGATTTTTCAAGTTTTTAGTTATCTTTTCTGATGTAGTTTTTACTATGTTTGCTTTTAATACTTTGTATCGGGCTCACACTTAGTATGCTTAATGTTGCCATTATTCTCTTAGATCCCTACTTTATATGCTTTTATTGTGCTAGATTTGTTTAAATTAATTATTTATTTATTATTAATTATTTATTTTGCTACAGTGTTGTATGTATCATTTTTTTATATATAACAGTTGATGGTTGTGTGTATGTAAATGTCAGGCTTACTGCTTGTTATGCATATTTTAACCTTCTGTGCCATTTTATTGCTAAGTCTTAACAATGCTTTATATGAATAATTTGCTAATGTTTTAGAGCTCTGTCTGGATCTGGATGATAAGTTGCAGGGCCTTTCAGCATATAAGCAGCGAGAGAGAGGAGTTGGTACAAATGGAATACGGCTGATTTGAAGCCGTCTACTGTCTTATATATAGCTTGCGCAACACTATCACTCAATTTATTCCAATCGACAATTGTTCGTGGAAAAAATGATTGATTATAACTTAAAGTTTTACACTGCACAGTTTTAAAACATTTAGAGTGATTTATTATCTGGTTTTCAATAATGTTTTCTGTGGCACAATTCTCAAAAGTCTTAGCTTTCACTCTGGGTTTATTTACATGGGCAGGCATTAAGTAGTCTTGGCGAGGCAGGGCTGGCACCAGCCCCCCCCCCCCCCCCAACCACCTATAAAACATTGTCAGTCTGTTTGCTTTCCTTTGTTCCTGGAGTGAAGGTATTTTCAGGTCTCGAAGCAATTGTGTGACACACCCCGGGGGACCTAGTGGTGTAGTCTTCTGTGATAAACCTAGCTGACTGTCTCTGGACCTTCTTAAAGCTGCATGCCTCCAGATGAGTAAAAATATTTCAATAAAATCAAACTTGAAAAATAAGTACTTCAATTTTAGGAAACATAAAATGATTCAAGATTCAAGTAATATTTTACATGTCATGTGCGGCAAATGACTGAATTTTTAGTATTTACAACTATATTTCTACTGCGTTACTAACACAGTAAGGGCTATTAATGCATATTTTGACCACTTTTTGGTAATTAACATGGCTTGGAAGTGCCATTGATAATGTCTTTAAATGACTTCCTTTTGGTTATATCACAATTTTATACATTCACATACATTTTCAAAATTTTCATGAAAATTAGCATTAATCTGGAGGCATGCTGCTTTAAGCTTGTCAATCTCTTTCTGGAGGTTTGGATCCCAGACGATAGAACTGTATCCAGGGTAGAGCGTTCGATAGTGACTAGTCAGTCTTCAGCAAATAAACGTATTGTTGACTTAATTCAGTCTGATAGCATTAATATGACAAAAGTAGATGAGTGGGTCGAGGATTGTACCTTAAATTGTGGAACACCTGAATAAACTGTGGCTGGTTCGGATTCCTCTCTTTCTACCACTACCTTCATGGTCACAGTGTTGATGGTAGAGCTGTCATTGATTCAGTGCAAAGCATATCAACGATATATCGATAATCAACGATACACCGATATATCGATAATATCCTATACTCACTTGTCTTTCATTCACTTTCATACCTGTTTCAATGATTTCAGTCAAAAACATGTTCTGTACAGTGTCTTGTCCACTGCATGATTTTTTCCAGACAATATTTTTTGTCACCATTGCTATGAAATAATTCCACTATATAACAAAAGCATAACATTAGATATAAATACATGTAACAGTTTCTGCATATATTTTGGGTGAATTGTATAATTTCTAGACATTTAATTTATAAGTCAAAAGTATCGATTTTTTAAAATGTGTATCGATTATTGATCTACAAAAAAATATCATCGATATTGTCGATATCGATGACAGCTCTAGTTGATGGAGTTGCTGAAATCAAGTATGACCATGTTAATCTATTACAGATCCCACATCATACATCATGCCTGGAGACAAGGTCATGGACTGTTGTCAGTCTGTGTGTCTATGCATTTTACTATATGTATGTATGCTTGATGTTTTTCCTTACATGATGTGTATTTTATTTGGTCTGCAACATGTATTTTAATGGATCTTAATATGTATTACTTCTTACTTTTGCATGAATGATACTAATGTTAGTGTAATGCTTTTCGTCTTCTCTGAAGATTTTCTTGAATAGTATTTGTAACCATGTTTTTCATATATCTTACCTTTACCCAATGTGATATATTATTACATTTATCGGTGTCACTATTTATTAGTCAAAGCTTAGGGGGAAGTTCTCTAGATGTTAAAATATTTCAAATTTAATTTCACTTCAAATTCTTTGACTTTACGGTAAAACATGATAACCTCATAATATAAATCTTTGGTAACTACACTGGAATAACCTTGGACATAATACAAGAGACGTATATCCAAAATAACTATGTAATTTTGAAAACTTGTTTACCTGTCCTTCCGCCATTTTCATGTCATGTGACCATCAAAGGGTCCGCATATTTTTGAATCCGTTTGTCATACAAAGTTGTTTACATACGGGTAACTTTGGACCGTTACCCCAGTAACAAAATGGCGGCATAAATAAGTTCAAATTTTATTTATTTTTATTTAAAAAAAACACCTTTGAAACTGTATTAAAAAGCCAACCGAAATAATGTCAGGAACGAGGCAAGTATTGGTTTCTTTGGAAAAGTATTGTTTTAAAGTGTATGAATTTTGTCCAACGAAACAATGAAAAGTTGATCAGGAAATAAAATTTGTCTGTTCACAGGCACGAGTATCGGACCTGGGAAGAAAAAATATGACCAGATTGATAATAAAACCTGTGTTCATCTTAAAAGTGTCAAAAAACAAAAACAAAATGTAAATAATGACCCCCTTAAGAAATATACTATAAGTTAAGAGAAGGCCGGAAACTCCAGATTCGAGCCTACTAGCAAGGGATTCATTTCCCGAGCCGTTGTGAAAACAATTGGCCAGACAATTAAAAAAACCTTTTATCACTATTTCATGTTTGTATTAAGCTTCCAAATAAGACCGACCCCAAGTCTCTAGCCCTTCCCGTTCATGAAATATCTATCAGGAAACGAGCGAATTTGTGCTAAAAATCCTTGGTAGACAGAATTGCGGCACGATTCGGTACGTAAACATAGACTAATACATGTTTGTCAGCTGAGTACGGGTCAAAATCACTTGAATTTACTAAATAATATTACTAAATACATTAAGTTGGATCACTCACAACCGTCAGTAGCATCTGATACACACGAGATTCGAGTTTCAAACATTTACACGGTCTTTCAATCGCTTTCTACGCCATTAGGCATCCTTGTGTGAAACGTTGCGGCTTCGTTGCTATTGGCCAATCAGAAGACTCGTTACAAAATATCGAACAGCTGATTGACAATGGCGTAGAAAGGAATCTAAAGACAGTGGAAACGTTTGAAATTCGAAATTTATGTGTATCAGATGCTACTGACGGTTTTGAGTGGTCCAACTTTATGTATTTAGTAATATTATTTAGTAAATTCAAGTGATTTTGACCCATACTCAGGTGACAAACATGTATTAGTCTGTGTTTACGTACCAAATCCTTGTGCCGCAATTCTGTCTACCAAGGATTTTTAGCACGAATTCGCTCGTTTCCTGATAGATTTTTTATGAACGGGAAGGGCTAGAGTCTTGGGGTCGGTCTCATTTGGAAGCTTAATACAAACATGAAATAGTGATAAAAGGTTTTTATAATTATCTGGCCAATTGTTTTCACAACGGCTCTGGAAATGAATCCCTTGCTCGAAGGCTCGAATCTGGAGTTTCCGGCCTTCTCTTAACTTATAGTATTGTTACCGTTGTCACTGTTGAAATGATTTTGTCAGGATCACTTTTAAGGCTACTGAAGTTAAATGGTACGGTAATTTACCATAAAACTTAATCAATGAAAAAGAATATAAACACTTGAAAATACCAAAACGCTCAAGTACAGTTAATCTTATTTATTAAGATCTTCTGTTAAATAAATGCATAAAACAGGATAATTAAATACTGTAAAAACATGTAAAATTATTGCCCTCGGTATAGTTATTGTAATCTAATGAGTTCGTCAATGTAAAGTTGTAAAAGAAGGGTTATATGAAGTATTT